GGTCCTTTCTTGATTAAACCAGTTTATTCTTCCCGATACAAACTTTTAGTACACAGTAATTCTACAATAAGTACGTTTCTCGTCACTTTTAACTTAACAACTTATATAATACACGCTATAAATCACAGCGATTCACAATCTCGATAACTTCGCTCTCGACGAGTACAAAACACACACATTATATTACGCCGCTGGCTTTCGCTGCCAGGCCTATATACAAAAGAAGAGGGCATATCGGACAAACTCGGGCTCTTCCCCGATAATTCGAGAAACTTCACGCACGCTACCAGCGTCACGTGACTTCCGCTGTCGTAATAGTATAAACAAGCTCCATAGTGCAACTATATATGTACTTGACATCTGGTGTTTATTTTCGTCCACTTTTTCAACTTTCGGAACTTGTTTGTTTGTAAGTAAGCACAAAGCTATACATTGGGGTATCAGTGTTCTGCTCACCACGGGTATCGAAACCCGGATTCTAGCGTTTTAAGTCCGCAGACATACCGCTGTGCTACTGGGGGGCACGACATAAGGAAACAATTATTAGCTTGTTTTAAAAATTTTGCGCAAACCTATAAACGGATATCTACGCATAGCTTTCCTCAATTTTGAATTGATAAACTAAAAGGAAGGCAGCAACTCAACTACACCCACCTCCAACTCCTTGCCTGACTGTATAGTAGTTGAATTTAACTGTTACCTTTATAATGCAGCCAAGAACCCTGGGATTCACAGTTTGAGCACGCTAGTCAGTAGGCCGAGTCCGTTCCAGGCGACGGTATAAGAAAAAAACAACAACAACAAAAATACAGAAAAATTTAGCAGTGTGAAACATTTAAAATTCATTTATTAGTAGCTAAAACACTACTTTTTACCTCCATAATTTCATAAAACTAGCACATTTCGTGTGCAAGGAGTCAGGATTGGCCTAATGGTTGTTATTCCTTAACTATGAAACTAGCACAATTCGTGTGCATGGAGTCAGGATTGGCCTAATGGTTGTTATTCCTGAACTATGAAACTAGCACATTTCGTGTGCATGGAGTCAGGATTGGCCTAATGGTTGTTATTCCTGAACTATGAAACTAGTACAATTCGTGTGCATGGA